AAAAGAACGTTATTTCCCTATGGATTCGACCCTACTTCTCCCTATCTGCATTAGTTAGAGGATTTAGGAATTACTTTTGATTAGGTGATACGACTTTATCCTGTCGGACTTGCTTGATTCTTCTTTGCTTTCACATACTCTAACTTGAGTATCACCCCCACAAGATCTGTTTAACTATGTCACTACATTTGTAGTTTCTGACAATATACATAGACACTTTTGAAAAATAATTTAGAGAACATGAGGATCAACTTATCCCCACAATGGATCAGATAAACTCTTACGGATTAATTTTCAACAACCATCTTCTTGACACATGTCATCCCTACTTATGAACCTTGCTTCATACAGATAGTACATCACACTTTTGCTTCGCAACTTACTCGACACATAGCACTACCCTTCATCGTGTAAAAATCAAACACTGATAGGGCACATCTAGTCATCGTAGTTCATTCAATCATTGTCCTTAGATCCTACTGGGACAGGTACTTGAGAATCTTTCTCACTTAACCTTCCTCCCTGCATTACTCAAAGCTCAAACAATAGTTGAGTAATTCTCTCTTGACAAATAGAATGACTGATGAATTTCCCAACAGAACAATTTCATGTCAAGAATAATTTGTTAACTCATTTAACTTGCAAAATATTAGCTCATTTGAATCAAACATCAAAGGATAAAACACAGAATTAACTCTGGCTTAATCATGATAAACATAGTTTACCAAAATACTTTCCCTACATTAATGCGTACCTTTATCGGTTCATTGGCTTACTACCCAAAATCATACTGCTTATCTCATTATGTTTATTCGCTTTGAGACAAACAAAACATTTTTATCTCAACAAACAACATGCATGTGAAGTTAACTACATATGATCATTCTAGCATATGAACACTATCAATGCAAACCATAGTAACATCACACATGCATCAAGAGGTTCAATACACATGCCAAGACAAACTTAATGTAACCCGTTTGGGTACTTACATTTGACCCCCACTCACCAACATATCGCAAAGGAAATAACAACATGAGGAAAAATACCTCATATTCTAAGTTGTCACCTGTGCATGCATTTTAGATACACACCCTTGATTTACAATCAATTATGCTAGGAAGTTTAAGCAACCTTACTGCAAAACAGACAAGCTTAGAACAAAGCAGGTGGATATAAAAGTGGGTCAGCACCAAACTTAAGGAATAAATCCTGATATCAAATACAACATCTTACCTTCAACCTCTTTCCCAACAAACACCTTTCAACTTCCCTTGAAAGTCACTTTCAACTGTTGGATACATTATAGTAAGGAAAAACATACTATTCTCAAGCATATATAACACCAAAAGGCGAGCGTTTTCACATTTAACATGCTTCTTTCCATAACTAGTTAATCAAGGTCTATTCATTTGGTTTAGGATTTTTCATCCACCACTACTTGAATGCATACCACACAACAGTCCATCTACACCTTTTAATCAAGAAAGTAAAACCAAGACGGTACACAACTAGTTCAAGCTTTAATAAAAAAACTCCTTAGATGATACACTCAGAAGAAAGCTTAGGAAGTAAGAACAAATTCTATGAACGAGCAAGACTAACATGTCACGTCATAGGAAAACATATACTTGAGACACTTCACAAGATAAAACATATCAAGGTCATACATATAAAATATAGCAGATATTCAGCATACACATCACCCACTGTACCACAAGCCTTCATGCTTTACGTGAAAAACATATAGAAAACAATTCTTCACAATGGAAAACCCCCCACATTACGTATACCACATGAAAATAATCATGACTCAGGTAACAAAATTAGGGAGTGACATCCAATCTCTTGGGTGAACTACTTATTAAAACAAATAAGCAGCTGAAACATATCTGCAACCCCCACATTACAAATATTCAAGAACATTCATAAATATTGAAGACACATGGAAACTTAATTCCTATTCTTACCGCATGTGGAGCTTACACACCTTAAATCTTGTACAACCTTTCTGGCTTTTGCCAAGTCAAACCTTTTACATCTGCTAATAAGCACGGAAATAAAACCGGTCTCGTCTGGACCATCAACAAGAAAAGTAAAAGCTACAACTCTAGCAATTATACACATTTCAAGTTCATGAGCAAAGCGAATTAAGATCACAAGAATTAATATCAATAATTTTAAATCCCCTTTTTAAACTAAAAAGGGCACTTACAAGCATATCACATACTCCGTGCTTAACAAACATTGTCCATGATTAGGATTATAACAATAAAAACACTATCATAAGGTAGAACACATAACATCCCTAATCTACTCGGACAAATCACATATAAAGTCCATAACATATATAAATTATCAATGGACAAAACATACATTAGCAGAAATAAAACTTACAACTCAATAAGTCAGCTAGCAATTAGCCACACCCAACCCCCACATTATATGGCAATACTTCATAATAATAAACTATGCATACAAGGGCACATAATAATAAACATATATATTGGCACTGTTTGGGGGAAAGCTGAAAGCTGAAGCTGAGTTGAATTAGCTAATTTTGACTAGCTGATTTTATTAACTGATTTGACTAACTTATTGTATTAGTTGATTGTATAAAAGTGTTTGGTAAATAGCTGATTACTTAAAGCTGTTTGAGTATTTAAAATGACCAATAAGGACATTGGCATATTTAACTTTGAATGATTAGTTATTTCATAAAATAAAAAAAAAAATCAGATATTTTTTTTTAAAAAAGCATGAATAATAATTTTTCTTTTTAAAAAAATCAGATGTATTGGTCTGAGTAAGAAGGATTTCAAAAATTTTGGTTAAGATGAAAAGTATTTGGAGGAGATAAGAATTTCTAAAATTTGGATTAAAACAGATACTTTACCATAAAAAATAAAAAAAAAAAAAAAAAAAAAAAAAAAAAAAAAAAAAAACAATCATCAAAACAAAGAAAATTAAGGAAAAAATTGCTTCAAAAAAAAAAAAAAGTTAAGGAAAGAAATTGAGAAAACTAACGAGTATGTGGAGCGGCAGTGGGAAGAAGTGAGAAATGGATTAATTGATTGGTTGTATGTCATAGGATTTGGTCATAAACAAGAGGGCAAATTTGTAATTTAAACCCACCCAACCAAATAAGCTCTTTGCAAACGCTGCTCATACCAACATTTTGTAAAAAAGTTTATTGAGGTTAATACGCTCTTCCAATAAGCTTACCACCAAACACTAGTATTAGCTTATTTGACTAGTCAATTTGCTAAAGTTAGTCAAATAAACTAATTTATCCCCAATGAGTTGTTTACCAAACATGGCCGTTATGTAGAGTTAGGAAGGGCAAACTAAATTGAGGAGATATTTATCTTATCCGTGCAAACACTAGTCGACGACGAGCAAGATCAGACTACCAAACTAGCCACATCAAACACTCGGCACCAACTACAATCAATCATGTAGTTTGAATAGCTCATGTTTGGGTCCAATTTACTCCAATTGGGACGACCCACAAATGATTTAATCAAGCCTCAAAGGTTCAACTCTCTAACAAGTATGCCAAGTCAGTCAAAAGTGGCCCAGTCAACATGGTAACCCCATATGACTCAAGAGCCCATTAAAGCCATTAGAACAAGGTATAAAAGCCTTGAATTCTCTCTCTTTCCATCTATCCACATTAAGCCTCAAGCAATTAATACTCTTACATAGGTTATTCTCTCTAGAAATATACTGTACTAACTATTGCATCGGAGGGGCCTTCCTCGGCACAACCCCCGAGAACAGTTTATGTGTGTTAGCTATGCAGGAAATCCTTATCCCAGTCATCACTCGGGTTGAGTCCAGTCTTCAGCCCATTGTTCAGGTCCGGCCGAAGGACCTATCGTTTGTACCCGAAATAATTTGGCACTGTCTGTGGGGAAGACAATAAAAAAACAAGCCAAAAATCTAATCGCTTAGCAACATGACTAAGAGTGCAAAGAAGACTAATCCTTCTTCTTACGCTACGAATAAGTGTCCTTCTGCTTCTTCGTCTTTAGAAACTTGCCTCATCCGAGAAAGCCTCACCTGAAAGACCATGTCACAACACCGGCCAGCCGTCGATCTCTCGTCGACCAAGCCACTCTAATGCTAGGAGTCCAACTTCTAGCCGCCACTCTCAATCTCATCCGAAGGGGACACCCCAGACGGGTCCCACATCGAAAGAGGTGGCAAAATCCCTCACAGTCTTCATGGACTTCATGAAGGCCTAAGCAAACCAGCAAGTCCCACCTTCTATCTCCTCTGTGCATGCTGACATGATCGAGCAGCTGAGAAATCGAAGAAGGAGGATAAGTCAAGAGGATGGAGGACGAGCTCCATCTCATAAAGAACTTGGGGAGCATTGGGAAGAGGGCACTTGGAGGACTGAGCGAGAAAGAAAAAGGAACCCCCAGTTCTTCGAGGAATCGAAACCCGAAGCTTCAAAAGTAGTAACACCGCGTCCATGCGACCTAAAACTGTTCGCCGAAACGTTCACTAACGTATCGGCTTGAGGGAGGTGAGCATTCACATCCGCCTAACATACCCTCATGGAAGTGAACCCTATCCTTCATAGTCCCAGCCGAGGACAAAAACCACTTCCACCTCCCAGAGAGGGGGGAAGCGAGGTCCCAACGGCTAGGACCAAAGGGAAAGTAGTAATGACACCCTTTAGGTCTCCATTTGTCTCATGGATCCTGGAGGAGAAAGTGCCAATTGTAAGGATCCCAACACACATTGCCTATGATGGGACTTTAGATCCGAAGGAACATATAGCCTCTTACGAGGGGCATATGTACCTGAACCCCCTATCCGAAGCAACCTGGTGCAAATACTTTCTTACAACTCTAAAGAGAGTCGCGCAAGCTTGGATCACCAAGGGGGTAGAGGGGGGGTCAATCACCAGATAGGAAGACTTCTCCCACAAATTCAAAAGCAAATTCTCTACGGCAAACCGCCGAGAAAAAACCAATACTGAGCTAATGAGCCTACAGCAGGGAGACGAAGAAAGTCTCCGTGATTACCTTACCCGGTTCAGCAACGAGTCATCTAGAATCACAAATCTGGACCAAGGGCTGGCTGTGTTCGCATTGCGGAACGGGCTGCAAGTTGGGAAATTTCTCGACTTCATGGTCATGCATACCCCGCAGGCCTTGGAGGAAGCCCTCGATGCCTCGAATAGATACATCCAAGCCGAGGAATGGAACAAGGCCAAGTCCCAACCTGGGACTGGTAAGACCAAAGGACATCAGTCCGAAGGCCAAGGCCAGAGGAAAGGGAAGGAGAAAGCCTCATAACCTTCTTCAACGCCTTAGTCAAAGAAAGAGAAAACCCCATTCTTGGGGAAGTATGAATCCTACACTTCTCTCACTCTTTCACGTGCTAAAATTTATAGCATAACGAAGAACAATGAGAAGTGGAAAAAGCCGAGGGCGCCACCATCGTGGCACCAAAGCTAAAACAAGGACATGTGGTGTGAATTCCATGACGCTTATGGACACAACACGGAAGAGTGTATCTAGTTAAAGGATCAGATTAAAGATCTGGTCTGAAGGGTATACATGAAGAAATACCTCGCGGACCGTCGCAAGGAAAAGAAAGCTGAGCAAGACACTCGGCTACAACTTGATTATAACTGGAAGAAAGAAAGCGGGACAAAGAAAATCCTGACATTCTTGTCATCTCCGGGATCAACTATGCCTCACCAAGTCAACTATGCCTCAGTTCGAGGTCCCAAATCTTCGGTTCCGAACATCACGTTCACAGCCAAAGACTGCCGGGGAGTAGCGTACCCCCATGATCCGCTGGTCATCATCACGTATTGCCAACCACAACGTCTGGCGAACCCTCGTTGATTGCGGCAGTGCGGCAAACATCCTATTTCGGGATGCCTATGACCGCCTCAAGCTTTAGGCCAAGGACCTGAGTCTAGTGCCCTACCCAGTCATTGGATTCAACAGGTCCTCGGCCTACCCTGATGGGAAAATTACTTTTCCCATCACAATCGGCAAAGACCAAGCAGCAAGAAACATCATGGCTGAATTTTTTGTCATTGATGTCCCATCAGTCTATAATGTAATCATGGGGAGACCCATGATCCATTAGGTCCAAGGAGTCGTCTCCACATATCATCAGTTGATGATATACGTTTTGGATGAAGGCTCCTTCGAAAGGATCCAAGGGAGCCAAGAGGTTACCCGTAAATGCAACTACAACTCCGTCAAGCCCTCAAAGAATTACCATGAGGACGAAGGCGACGATGAAAAAGAAAAAGAAAAGGACCAAAACACTAAGAAGCAGAAAGGCTTAAGTGCTTCGGCCCAAGGGACCCCACCCAAAGAAAAAGCAGTGGGGGGAAAGGCTAGATCATCTTCTAAAGCAGCAAACTCAGAAAGCTAGCCGAAGTCCGGGAAACCTGCTGACATTGTCACTAGGCCGGACAATGAAGAGTTCAGTTCCAAAGCAATAGAGCTGGACCACTAGACTGAATCAATCGAGTTGATCGAAGGAGACCCCGAAAAACTTGTAAGCATCGGGCTCGGACTTGATTTGAGTATTTGAGTCGAGCTTATCCAACTCCTTCGGGACAACCGAGATGTGTTCGCTTTCTCAGCCGCTGACATGCCTAGAATCGATCCGAACCTCATCTCCCACAAGCTGAACGTCGACCCCAGTTGTCGGCCCATCAAGCAAAAGAAGCGAAATTACTCCGCCAATAAAAACCGTGACATCACTGCCGAAGTTAAAAGGCTTCTAGATGCAGGCTTCATCGAACCCTGCATGTATCCGAAATGGTTGGCTAATGTGGTGATGGTCCAGAAGGCCAATGGTACCTGGAGAATGTGCGTTGACTTCACGGATCTAAATAGAGTCTGCCCGAAGGGCTTCTATCCGTTGCCGAGGATCGATCAGCTAGTCGACTCGACAAGTGGCCATGCTCTGCTTAGTTTCATGGACGCATTCTTAGGGTATCATCAGATCTTCATGCACCTCGATAATAAAGCAAAAAAGACATTTGTTACGAACGTCGGGGTGTTCAATTACAAAATGATGCCCTTCGGACTGAAAAATGCCGGGAAAACGTATCAAAGGCTGGTTGATCAAGTCTTTGTCGAGTAAAAAGGCCGAAACATGGAAGTCTATGTTGATGATTCAATCGTCAAAAGCAAAAAGGACACGGACCATGTGGTGGACTTGGCTGAGACGTTCGCCACCTTAAGAAAACACCAAATGAAGCTAAATCCGAAGAAGTGTGTCTTCGGTATGAAGTTAGGCAAAATCCTGGGTTTCATGGTCAGTAAAAAGGGGATTCATGCCAATCCCGCCACAGTTCAAGCAGCGCTTGATCTTCCCGAGCCGAAGACAAAAAGGGATGTTCAGCGGCTGATTGGGAGAATGGCAGCCTTGTCCAGGTTCATCTCTAGAGCTTCGGTAAGGGGCTGCCCTTCTTTAAGGCTCTAAAGCTGCCCTAAACAAAAGAGCTCATTTGGGAAGATGAACAAAAAGAGGCCTTCAAGTAGCTCTGAGAGCATCTGGCTCAACTCTCAACGTTGGCACGTCCAGCCGAAGGAGAAACTCTGTACTTATACGTGGCAGTCAGTTCAGCCACTGTGAGTGCAGTTCTGCTAAAGGAAGAAGATAAAGTCCCGAAGCCGATCTAGTTCGTTAGCCACTCTGACGGATGTCGAGACCCGCTACTCCCTACTCAAAAAAGTTGCATATGTAGTAGTGGTAGCTGCTCAGAAGTTGCGATCCTACTTCGATTGTCATCAGATAGTGGTCTTAACTGATCAGCCCGTGGAAATAGTTCTCGGCAAAGTGGAAAAATCTGGCAGGTTGACAAAGTGTGCCTTTGAGCTCACCGAGTTCAGCATAAGTTACCAGCCGAGGACAGCCATCAAGGCACAAGCTCTAGCGAACTTCCTGGCCGAATGCTCATATCAAGAGACATTAGATGAAGAAAAGAAAACCTAGATCGTGTTTATGGATGGATCCTCCACTTTAAATGGTTTGGGGGCTGGGGTAGTACTTACCTCACCTGAGGGCAAGTCCTTCGAATATGCACTTAAATTTGCATTCCGAGCTTCAAACAACAAAGCAGAGTATGAGGCAGCAATTGCTGGCCCAGAATTGTGCATATCATTGGAAGCCGAACATGTCTTCCTGATAACAAATTCTCAGCTTGTCGCAAATCAGATTTGAGGCGAGTATGAGGCAAACGAGCCCTCGATGATTGCTTACCTCGCAAAAATCAAAACGATAATTGCGAAGCTGGGAACTTTTGAAGTCGAGCTGATCCCAAGGGGTTAGAACGCCCAAGCCGATGCACTCTCTTAACTTGCAAGTTTAACTCTAACCGAGATGAACCGATCTATTTATGTGGAGGTGCAGTAAGAAAGAAGTGTTGATGGAGCACCTAAAACCTGCACCATCACACCGGAGCCGACCTGGATGGACCCCATCCTAGCTTACAAGCTTCGAGAAAAAATCTTGAAGACAGAAACTTAGCCTCCAAGCTAGAGAGAATCAGCTCCAAATTCATCACCTTCAGGGGAGAGCTATTGAAAAAGTCATTCTCAGCCCCACTACCGAAATGTGTGGGACAAACAGATGCTAACTATATCCTTCGGGAGATTCACCTTGGCATTTATGAAAACCATATTGGGGGAAGAACCTTGGCCCATAAGGCACTAAGGTCAGGGTATTACTGGGCCAATTATGATCCTAGATGCAAAAGAGTTGGTGAAAAAATGCGAAAAATGCCAAAAGTTCGCACCAGTTATTCATCAGCCAGTAGGGGGTCTTCAGCCAATCATGAATCCCTTTCCTTTCGCCCAATGGGGACTGGATATCTTGGGGCCGTTCCCTGATGCACCGTACCAAAAAAAGGTGGTTGATAGTCGGCATTGACTACTTCAGCAAATGGATCAAGGTCGAGGCAACCTCGAAAATCACCGAGCAAACTATCAGGAAGTTCCCCTGGCAAAATATCATGATTCGCTTCGGAATCCCAGCCCGAAGGTGTTTGTCTTTGATAATGGAAGGCAATTTGATAATTTTTCGCTGAGGCGATATACTGATTAGTCGGCATCAAACTGGCTTATTCTGCGGTCTGTCACTCGTAGAGCAACGGCCAGGCCGAAGCAGCAAACAAGCATATTCTCAATGCGCTTAAAAAGAGAATGGAGGATCAAAAGTCCAAGGGGATAGAGGAACTCCCTGGTACCCTCTGGTCCCTTCGGACAACTGGAAAAGTGGCTACGGGACATTCACCTTTTGAGTTGGTGTATGAATCCGAGGTTGTGCTTTCAGTGGAAATAGGCATTGAAAGTCTACGGGTGCATAGCTTTTCAACCGAGGAAAATGAGAAACTTTTAAGAGAATCCCTTGATTTTCTAGATGAAGTCAGAGATTCGGCTCGAGATATAATGACAACTTACAAATAGAGAATCAGCAATTTCTACAACCAAAGAGTCAATGCAAGACCACTTAAAATTGGGGACTTGATTCTTTGAAATGTCGCAGCAGTTCAGAAAGCCGAATTCATAGGAAACTCTCGGCCACTTGGGAGGGTCCCTACGAAATCTACAATGAGCTCCAGCCTGGAACCTACTGACATCGCCAGTTGGATGGAACCGAGCTGAAAAACCACTGAATCACTGATATACTGAAAAAATTTCATGTGTAACCTCTTCGGGGAAAAGCTGTGTAACACCCCAAAATCTCCCTCTATGGAAATACTAGTATATTACGTATAATTATACCGTAGAGATAGACTTGCCGTGTGATTATGCAAGGCTACTCAAACTACTAATTAAAACCACAACTTCGCAGCGGAAACTGAACTATTCCTTTGTTAATACTTAATAAAAATAGTAACCATTGTCATGAGTACTCAAAAACAGAAACAAAGACCAACATTCCTAAACTAGGTGAAGAATATCCCGGGACTCCCAAATGCTCATTTATTGACTCCACCTAAAAATAGTTAACACTGCTTATCATTAAGGTAAACAGGGCGAACCAAAACAAATAGGAAATACGGATTAGGAAAATTTTCTAAGTACGATAAGTGCAAGATAGGTAAATTCAACTTATTTGCAAACATGCTTTTAAAACCAATTCCAATAATTAATTCAATAATTCCAAAACTCATGATTCAAAACCATTTCTCAAACTTCTCAAAATAATTCCAATAACTCAATAATTCAATAATAGTGATTATTAAAAATAAATTCCTCTTTTCAAAAACTCAATTCCTCTCCTAAGTATGCACACCTCCAAGCTAGTATCTTTATATTGAAAGGCTATCCTTGAGGAAAGACTAGGTCATACAAAGTCCATAGTCTTAAATGAATCTGCATAGTGGGATTAATATAATCATACTTATAAAGCTTTTTAATAAATAAATTCAATAATTCCTCAAATTTCCAATTTTTTTAATAAATCAACTCAAACTCCTTTTCATTTACTTCAACATACTTTCAAAATTAAACCTTTTAAAACATGATAAATAATTCCATTATTTAAAACATGACATTAAAATCAGTCCTTCAAATTATTTATTAAAACCATTCCTTTAAACAAACTTTATTTCATAAATCATAATTCAAATCAATCTAATTAAAATCACACAAACATGCTTATTCATTCAATCAATTTCAAAGGTATCTAGCCACCTAAACGTACCTTGATCCTCACTTAGAAAACACACAAAAAGGAACCTCAAGAATTCTAGTCAAAAACACCCTACAATTAAATATAACCTTAATCAATATAAGGTCAACAAATAATCACAAAAATTAAAATAAAAACCCCCAATTATATGTACATAAACCTTATAAAATTCTTTTTCATAAACTTGTATAATAAAATGATTTTATTTAATTAAAAACACTCATAATAATTTTTATAAAACTCCCATAATAATAATAATAGAATTAATTAGGAGAAGGGAAGAAGAAATAGAAAACCAAGGAAGGAGAAGGAGGCTTCGGCAAGGGCAACAACACGCCGGCAGGTGGCTGCTACCGATGGTCGGCGTCGGGGCTGGCCAGAGGAAGGTGGCAGCCGGCGGTGGAGGTGGTCGTTGGCGTATGAAAGAAAGAAAAGAGAGAAGAGAATAAGAGAGAATTTATGGAGAAAGAAGAGAGCTTTGGTGTGAGTTTTTAGCTATGATTCAAGGGGTATTTATAGTCTAGCTCATGTAAGAATTAAGGTAAGAAAATTTAGGAAGGATTATGGCAAATTTGGTTTAAGGAATTACTTGGAAAAGTGAGCTAAAGAATTAAGGAAAGTTTAGTTTTATGGTGATTAAGGAATTAAGAATCATGTTAAGGGGGCGTTTGGTTCGGATAATGGAAACGGAGTGGAAAGGAAACAAATAATAGGGGGGAAAG